AGGGAGGGCACAAGCCGCGCTGAGGGACAGCCCCGCCCCCGCCACCGAGTGCACAAATTTTTGTGCACTGGGCCTCTAGTATAGATAGATAGATAGATAGATAGATAGATAGATAGACAGACAGATATAGATATAAATATATAGATATAGATATGTTTTTAAGGCAAAGACAACAGCAACAAAAAAATAAGCAGGTGGGACTATACCAAATTAAAAGGCTTCTGCACACCTGCCCAGGCTGCTGCTAGCCAAGTACCCTCACAACTAGGCCAGGTGGACTGCTCTCAAGAGCCTGTGTTGGATGGGAAATATATATTGTTCATTTTCTAAATGGCTTCGTGTAGGCACTTTGTAAATGTTTCTTGAATGAATGAGTTTCTAATAAAACAAAGCACACATACAAATAAAATAAAATAAGTGGCTTCTGTTTATCAAAGGAAACCACCAATAAAATGAAAGGCAAACTACTGAATGGCAGAAAATATCTGCCTTATCAGGTAATATCATACAACTCAATACAAAAAAAAAAAAAAATCTCCCCAAATGGACAGAGAATCTGAATAGATATTTTTCCAAAGAAGATAGCAAATAGCTAACAGGCACATGAAAGGGTGCTCAACATCACTAATCATCAGGCAAATGTAAATCAAAACCACAATGAGATATCACCTCACACTTGTGAGAACAGCTATAATAAAAAAGAGATTGAGCAGAGGGTTTGAATAGAAGTGGTGTCAGGGAAGACATTCAGATGGCCAACAGACACATGAAGAGATGTTCAACTTCGCCAATTAGGAAAGTGCAAATCAAAACCACAATGAGATGTCACCTAAAAATCAATAAAATATATTTTTTTAAAAAGACAAGAAATAACAAATATTAGGAGAGTGTGCACTATTGGTGGGAATCAAAATTGGTGCAGTGCCTATGGAAAACAATATGGAAGTTCCTTAAAAAATTCAAAATAGAATTAACATATGATCCAGTAATTACCCTATTGGGCATATATAGGGTGTCCCCCAAAAAATGCATACACACTTTAACAGCTGATAGCTCAATTTTGAAAATGAAATCTATTTTAATAAACACTGCCTTTATACTTATTCAAAGTGTGTGTATACATTTTTTGGAATACCCCATATATACCCGAAGGAAACAAAATTATTACTCTCAGAGATAACTGCACTTCACATTCAATGCAGCATTATTTACAATAGCCAAGACATGGAAACAACCTAAGTGTCCATTGACAGGTGAATGGATAAAGAAAACATAATATGCAAGCACAAATACGTATAATATTATGCAGCCATAAAAAATAAAGAC